GGGCTGCTGTGTGAAAAGGAGACCACAGGGGCAAAGGTAGAGGTCACTGTTGTCACCACGATAAGATGTTGGCTGGGACCAAAGTGATGGCAATACAGAGAGAATGGAGGTCACCCATGAATATACTTTGAAGGAGCACTCTAGTTTCCCAAAGGGATTTGGTTGTTTTGTTCTGTGTTTTTGGTTTTTAGGGTTTTTGAGGATTAAGCAAGGTCATATGTATCAAGTTCCCTGACACATAGTAAGTACTTGGAAACTATGAGCTGGTTTTGAGTATTGGGGCATCACAGAAAGTTGTGCCATTGGTCTGTGGGCTCTATGGAAGGTGGGGACTGTGACACATGTGGGATTTGTGATTTTTCTTGTTATAATTAATAAGCCAAACCAATTGCCATCGAGTTGATTCATGGTGACCCATGTGTCTCACAAGAACTGTACTCATGGGGTTTGCCGTGGGTGATTTTTTTGGCAGTAGATCGCCTGTCTTTGTTCCAAGGCAACTCTGGATGGACTCAACCCTCCAACAGCATATTGACTGTTCACACCTCCCAGGGACTCCATTATTATTAATAAAAGATGTAAAACTCTTCTTGGCTTCCTGAAAACCAAAAAACACAAAACAAAACCATCATACACCAAAGCTAAACAAAAAAACAAATCCCAGTGGGGTGGAAGCCAACACTAAACCATCCCCTGCCCCTTCCCTGCTCTTTCTGCACTGACATTTCCACAGAAGCAGTCTGACGGTAGGAGGGGCAGGGGGCCCAACCCTCAGAGCACAGGGGTGTTCTCAGCCTAAGGAATGCTATAGTCCATATAACCAAGCAAACTTCCCCAACAAGGCAGCTACAAGACCAAGGCTTGGCAGCCATCTAGATGCAATGATGGGTCTCTCCTCATCCAAAGCAAAGAAGAATGAAGAAAACCAAAAATTCATAGAAAGAATTAGTCCTAGTGACAGGTACATCATGTGATCCACAGCCTATACGACTATGAGACCAGAAGAAGTAGATGGTGCCCACTTACCACTGTCAACCATTCAGAGGGGGATCTATGTAGGAGATCCTGGATAGAGAGGGAGAACAATGTGGAACAAAACTCAAAATCATTTGGGAAAAAAAGGGGGGGACCAGGTTTGCTGGTCTGATAGAGTCTGGTTGAACCACTGAGACTATGACCCCTAGCTGCCCGTCAGGTCTGGAATTAAACCCATACCTGTAGCTTCCAGCCAAGCAAAAGACAGGCATGGCAGTTGAACATTTACCTGAGGTAGATACACTTCTTGCAGAGAACAATCATGGGAGAAAGAAGAGCTGTTTATGCACAGGGAGACAGCTCAAGGGGCAAGAGTGCATGGAGGGAAGGACACAGGGAAGAGGTGACTTTCAGGAGGAAGTGGAGGGGAGCTGTTGCATTGTGGTGAATTATGGCCAATGTCATGAGACAAAGGGTATGTGAACTGCTGTATGGAAAGTTAATTTGCTCTGTAAATTTTCATCCAAATCACACACAAAAAAATCCTATGGAACAATTCTACTCTGCACATATGGGGTCACACGGAGTTTAACAGTTCCTTTTATGCTACAATGGCAGAGTTGAGCAGTTAGAACACAAACCAAAAAAAAAAAAAAAAAAAAAAAAAAAAAACCTATTGCCATTAAGTCAATTCTGACTTACATCAATCCAATAGGACAAAGCAGAACTGTTCCATAGGATTTTCAAGGCTGTAAATCTTTACAGAAGCAGAGTACCACATCTTTCTCTTATGGAGCAGCTGGTGGGTTTGAACCACCAACCTTCTGGTTAGCAGCTGAATGCTTTAAACACTGTGCTACCAGAACTCCTTATGGCCTGCAAAGCTGAAAATATTTACTATCAGTCCCTGAAGAAGACTCTACAAGATGGAAAAAGCAATGAGTAAATGTTTGCTGAATCAATGTTTGAATGTGAATATGTGTGTGTATGTGTGTGTGTGTGTGTGTATAGTTTGGGAAGCTGGGTTTACTGGATATATATCTGACGTCCTCCCTGTGATATGTAATACATGGATCCTGTTCATCTAGCATTTTCCAAAGGCTTTATCTTCACAACAGTCATCTATTGTGAAGGTGTAAACCTGTTTACTCATGTTTAATTTGGGGTAAATTGAGTCTCAGAATGATCAAAGAACTTTCTAACAACATAGTGTAGGAAAAACTGGATATGACCTTAATGTTCAATAAAAAGTGATTAATTTCAAAAAAGTGAAGGTGTTGACAGCCCTGCAATGGAATCTGATGTAACCCTAACTATTATGTTATAGAAAAATACCTCAAGATGTTTTCAATATATTGTTAATTGTATAGAGCAGGCTATGAAACAGTTTAACAGTGGTAATCCCAGCAAACTATGGTCCACAGGTCATATCTGCCCCATCATGTGTTTTTGTAAATAAAGTTTTATTGTAACATAAAAAAAAAAGAGCAAGGCTTGGGTGGGGGTGAGTGGTGTCAGGGTCCTCAATGACAAAGGCTAGGGGAGAGCAGGCTCGGGAAGGCAGTGTCCAGGGGAAATACCAGTAGGTCTCCAGTACCAGACTTCGGCAAATGATTTTGTTTTGTCCTTTGGGGTGGAGTTTTGCTCTGGAACCACACAAGTAAGACACTGAGGAGTTTCCAAGCCTCCTGCCCCCTCCCCTCCAGGTAGGTGCTGCACCCAGGCTCCCAGCCATCTTTCAAGATGCCATCCCACTATCAAGACTCCAAGCAGAATATATTTTCCTCGATGCTTAGGTTTTGACACAGAAAACGGCTTAGACTAGAAATATGTCGGTTCCAGAATTGACTAACCATTAACTTTTCATAAGCAACTCAGGTACGAACCCTTTATGACTCTGTTACGAGACAGGACAAATCAGCTAGCTGGTGTTTTATTTTTATTATCGAGGCTTCCGCAGAGCGGTAGGAACTGGGCTGTTATAAGCAGAGCAATGTTTCAGCGTGAATGTGCAGGTTCCAGCAGCCTCACCGATGTTTTACTCCATTGGGAGCCCTGTCAGGAATTATTTTCCTGATCCTGAAAGCAGGCTGCAGGCATCTGCTATCTACCATCTCACCTCTGTCCTACCCCAAGTCTTGCACTGGATCTGCACCCCTTCATTGGGCCATTATCCAGACAGCATCTTTGAAGGAACTCATGGTGGTTGTGTCCAGGCCCTTCTGGAGTGTCAACAAGGTTTCAGAGGGCAAGACCATGAGGGGCCCAGGGAGATGCCCTGTGGATGCTCTTTGACAACTCTTGTGTTGGACAATCTTAGCTGGTGGCCTCCCATCCCTCCTGCTGCCAGATTGTTCCTATGCAAAAGGAAACAGAGAAAGGACCGGGGAGATGGTTTATTTACAGGACCAAGAGGAGTTTTACATCTTCTCTTAATAATAACAAAGAAAATAACATCCCCCGTTCCTGTCATACTCCCAGCCTTCCAAAATGTACTCACATGCACTCTCCCAACACCTCCGTGAGGCAGCCAGGCACATGTATTGTCACAATTTACAGATGGAGAAACCAGTACTGGAGGGATTAGGTGACCTTGATCAGTGAGAAAGTTCAAGCTAAAACCTGGGTCTCCTATATCCCAGCTGCTGGGCTTCCCCATCTCTCCTCTCAGACTACACTGCCCAGCCCTGATTCTCCCCAGTGAGCGAGGATTGTCTCCATCCTGTCAGCTCTGATCACTATGTCCTCAGAGATGTTTGGTGGCTAAGACAAAACCTGATGAGGGATCTCCATGGAACCCCAGATCATTGGGAACTCTGGTAGCATAGTGCCTAAGGTACTTGACTGCTAATCAGAAGGCTGGCGGTTCAAACCCACCAGCCACTCCTCGAAAGGAAGATGGGGCAATCTACTTCCGTAGTGATACTGCCTTGGAAACCCAAGGAGAGGTTGCTATGAGTTGGGTCCGACTCGAGGGCACATAACAACAACAACAAGCATGTCTGCAGTTGGTTCCTGGAAAGGGCAAGTATTGTACATGATTCTGCAAGACAGAGCATAGTGGGCATAAATGATCCTGGGGCGAACTTTATGCCAAGTGCTCTTCAACGGACTCTGATGAAGCAAAAAGCCCCCTACTGCCCTATCCCTCCCCTGTACAATGGCCCAATAAGTCACTTGTGTGGCTGCAGAGACCATAATGACCAGACTTGTAGGGCTATTTCGTATGGAACTCCTAGGCATCAACCACTCCTGGTTCTGTTTTATTATCCTGCCCCTATTCTTTTTTTTGCCCCATCATCCTCATAGTTCTGTTTCCCTTCTCTTGGGTTATCCAGATCTCTGCAAGCTGCCTGAATCATTTTGAGATCAAGGTGGGATCTAAGCCAGGAATCAGCAAACTATTACCTGTGAGCCAAATCCTACCCACCACCTTTTTTTTTTTTCAATTAATGTCATTGGAAAACAGCCATGCTTATTCATTTACAAATGGTTTATGGCTGTGTACACACTACAGTGGCAAAGTTGAGTAGTTGACAGAAAGCTTATGGCCCACAGAGCTGAAAATACTTACCTGGCCATTTAAGAAAAAAATTGTCTACCGCTGATCTGACAAGGCCTGCCCTCCAGAAACAGAACTTCTCATTAAGTAGATAAGATTCTTAGGACACAAGCAGGCAGCAAGATGACCAGGAAAACGACAGGTCAATTTAGTTGAATTGGAGAAAGGGACTATTTTGGGGGGTGGTATTCAAGCAGGGCTTCATAGAAGTGTCATATGAACAACACTTTAAATAGATGTACAGGATCTGGGCAAGCAAAATGGAGAGGTGGTGTCCTGGCTATAGAGGCCAGCACCACTCTGCAGACAGCTCTGGCCAGAGCCAGGCAGTTGTCAGAAAGGAAATACCTCACAGCTGCAGGATTTCTGCTTTGCTGGCAAAACACAGGACCCAGACTGCCCTTCCTAGCCTACTCAGTTGTGTTCTTTGAGCCAGTCTCATTGTGTTCTTTGTCTCATGCAGGACTTTGGAGAGGATGACTCCCTGTACATCACCAAAGTGACCACCATCCACATGGGCAATTACACGTGCCATGCCTCTGGCCACGAGGAGCTATTCCAGACCCACGTCCTGCAGGTGAATGGTTAGTAAATGGCTCCATGCATGTCATCCCCTCAAAACATTCCCGTAATGCCACTCAAAGCAACCCTTGTCCCTTTCTGTATTTTCTTCTTAAAGAAACACCTACCCCAAAAGATCTCATCTCCTTCATAAGTAAAGGGGCATGGTGGGAAAAGGACAACATCTGTCAACTCTCACTTACCCCCAAATACACCTCTGATGAAATGAATCCAAGTGCCAGTAGAGGTGGTCATTTAAGTGTGTCAGCACTCAAGGCCCAGCAGGCCACTCTGGTGTGTGGTGTTGGTGAGCAGCCAAGGTCTCTGGATCCAGTGAGAAGCAGAAACTGTCTAAAAATTATCACTCCTCTTCCAGGCAATGTGGAACTGTGTTACCTGTTCCATTTGGGGCATTTTTTCCTCCAACAAGAACTTGTTTCCATCAGCTTCCCCAAGAGGCTCAATGAACCCCACTTTAGGCTAACCCATAACAGAACTAAGCAGGTTTGGAAGGCTTTTTTTGATTCTCATTGGCCCCTGCATTGCCATGACTCCTACCAAAAAAAAAAAAACGAACTCACTGCTGTTGAGTCGATTCCAACTCATAGTGACTCCTCCTTGGGTTTCTGAGGCGGTATCTCTCTGGAAGTAGATAGCCCAGCCTTCCTTCCGAGGAGTGGTTGGTTGGTTTGAACCGCCAGCCTTCTAGTTTGTAGCCAAATGCCTTAGGCACTACACCTCAATGACTCATAGGAACCTGGAAAAATTCACCCCCTCCTGATTACATCATTCATTACAACAGCCAGTATTTTTCAAGAATTACTTTGGCCAATCTTTGTGCCATGCATTTCACATGAACTCTCCTGTTTCTAGGTAAGGTCACTTGCCTGAGGTCATGCAACTGGCAAGTGACCTAATAGGTGTCCGTCTGGACCAAAGGCCAGGCCCTGACCTCTGCACCCCACTGCAGCCACCTCCACCAGGCCTCTTCAAAGCAAACATGCCATAGTGTGTCCACAGGCTATACCCCAATAGCAAATCAGTCTCCTCAGTGAAATTAGACTCATCTAACCAAACTCAACCTGCCCAGCACTCCCATCATAGAGCAGGCCTAGGCAGGAAGTTCATATCCCAAGAAAGCCTGTGGTAGCTCCAAGTCAGCCCCAGGATTCCTGTGCCATCTGGCAATCAGAGCTTCAGCTCAGAGCAAAAATGATGACATCATGCTGCTCAACTTTGCTTACCTCTGGATTCAGGATGACGGGCCATTTAAGGACAGCTGGATAAACTCGGCTTGCCCCTGCATCTTCCCCACAGAATGTTTTACATACATTCCTAAGCCATATTTTATTAGGATTTCACTTGAGCTAGGATATGGCTTAAGCCTCTGGGATTTCACTAGTGTGCTTGTTGGCTTGAACCCAGGTCTATGATGAAGTCTCTGGATTTCACCAGAAATAACCCAAAGGTTCCCCAGGGGAGCCGACCCAGGCTGGGATCTGAGTGTACAGCTGGCGAGCTGTCTGGGCCCTGCTCCCAGCAGGTGCTGCTCCTGAGATCAAGCTTGTACTCTACAGCACAAGGCGGTTTTTATCATTTATAAACTGGCAAGGTGACATACACAAGTGTGGCAAGGGTCATACAATGCTCATGAATGTTTGACAAAACAACTCCAAGTGGCTCTCTCCAAGCCCCTCAGATCCTCAAACCTAGAAAAGGGAAATCAAACAATGTTCCAAGATCCTCAGCTCAGCCTATCCCCATTCTTCCCCCACTTCTCAGGAACCAAGGGCAAAAGGAGAAGGCCCCCTTTATTTCTTCCAAAGCAGGTCTTTGAGGAGGGGAGGGGAGCCACCTGCCAAGGAACCTGAGTATCTCACAGGTGAGAACCTGTAGACAGCTTGAGCTGATGGAGGAGACTTTGCAGTCTTAGGTTTCTTACTATATTAAGGGTCAAGTCCATGGTGCCAGGAGAGGGCTCTTGTTCACATGCCCCCCAGAGTTCTGAGATCATGATGGGAATGGAGCCAGTTCCTTACTCCCAGGGCTGAATTCCAGGAGCATGACTCACAAACCACCATAAAGTGTTTCAGGGTTCAAAGTAAAGAACAGACTTCTTCCCCCAGGTGGGAAGGAGACTGTATAGTGGACATTAGGAAATCTATTCAAGTTCTCTCCCAGCTACCTCCACACCATGAATCCAGAGATTTCTTAGTCTTTGCTTAAGAGGTGCTCTTGACCCATCAGAGTCTAAACAAGGAGCAAAAACCTTCCTGCTGAGACCCAGAGAGAGGCCACTTGAGATCCATTTCCTAATTGCTATGAGATTGAAGACTTCTCTTCCAGCTAATATGCTGTCAATAGAGTTGGAGGAAGCATGCTGGGACCTGTGTTCTCTGTGATGGGTTTTCTGCCTCATTAATTGGTTCATTGTGCTCAGCCCCAGATGGCTGGGCTAGAGCATCAGAATGGTCCTAGCTCTAGGAGCCCATGAGGCCCTTGGGCTGGGCTGACTCCAGGGCACTTGGGTGGCACTTGGGTCCATTAATCAGCTCCCTGGTGGTAGTACCATTCTAAAGTAGGCCAGTTGTTGACTTCTGAGGGCACAAGGCCATTGTTTGATGACCTGAGGGCAAGAAGTGAAATGTCCAAAGTATTCCAGAAATTAAACTTGCTGCATTGGATACAGAGTGAGGAAAACTGTATCTGTTTGGGAAACTGTTGTTAAAGAATAGAATGGTATGAAGGACACAATTACAGTAAAAATGAACACTTACTGAATACCCACTAGGGATCATCCCTGTTGTAAAGATGAGGAAATTAGAGCTCAGAGAGGTTAAGTGATTGACACAGATCCACAAAGTAACTGGCAGAGCAGATCTTAACTCCAAAGCCCAGACTCTTATTGCCAGCACTCCCTAAGCATTGTGTTGCTACTATTGCAGAATCTAGATATGGGGTACAAAGGTAATTGTCAGCAGGTGTTAGCTGAGTGGCTGTGGGTTATACACTGTAGGGGACACAGGGAAGGAACCCTGTCTCATTTGTCTCTGTTCCTATGCTCAGGCCTGGCCAGGAACAGCTGGCCTAGTGAGATGCCAATGCAGAAACAATGGCTGTGAATATAAGGACTGAAGTCAGCAAGACTAAAGTTGTTGAGCAGTGTGGATCAGTGTCATCTGGCTCTAGGTGTGGTGCAGCAAACAGCTGTGCGACTCCAGGTGCTATACACTTCCAGGAGAGAGGCCCAGTGTGGGCCAAGTCACTGTGGACAGCTCACAGAAGCTATGGTCGTGGGGCATTTTGCAGAATGGTGCCAAAGGAAGGCTAGCCTTCAGGCAGGAGGACCTGAGCAAGCCCTATTGGTACTCAGGACAGAAGAAGTACTCCCTTGCTAAGGAGTCTCAGGAGGAAGTAGAAAATGCAGTAACAAATTCATCTATTTTTATTTGTTCCTGTTCCCCATCCATCTCAAGGATGAGCCAAAAACATGAACAATGGCCTTGAACAGATTGGGTTAAATAAGGTCCTGTTGCCCAGCAGTGTGGCTTGAGTGTACCTTGGTCCCCTCTTGACCTGGCAGATGGTCTGTGGCTTATTGAGCTGAGGTAGCACCTAGGACAGGCAGACAGGGAGCAATGTTCTGTGTCTGCTCCTCCAACCCTTCTCTTCAGTCGGGGAGAAAACAGGAAGGGTTGATTGATGAAGGGAAAGGGGAGCGCTGGCCAGTCATTGCTTCTCTGATATGTAGACTTTAGCCCAGGTGGCACAGTGGTTAAGCACTTGACTGCTAACTGAAAGGTAAATGGTTTAAACCTACCAGCTGCTCCATGGAAGAAAGATGGGACAATCTGCTTCTGTAAAGATTTACAGCTCTGGAAACTCTATGGGGGCAGTTCTGCTCTGTCCTATAGGGTCATTGTGAGTCGGAATCAACTTGACATCCACAGGATTGATTTTAGACCTTTACCTGGAAACAGGACTTGGATGGGGACTGGTCTGGTCTGGGCACAATACAGACCAGAGCTGGCAGCACCTCTGTGTAAAGGGTGAAGACAGGAACACTGGTGCTCATTCATCCTTGACATGCAGTCTTAGGCAAGTAAATAAACTCTTCTGTAAAGATCAAAATAACAGAAGTACATAGGCTTATAGGTCTAATGAGATATATGTGTAAAACTGCTTGGAAAAATGTCTGGTACAGGAAGCCACTCAAAATCCAAAGTGGAGCAGACATGGGGGAGATGTTGCCACACTTAATTGTATTTGGCTGGCACAGATGACCCCATCAAGTGGCTTACTCAGAGAGCCTCCAGCCCCTTATATGATGAAAAAATCAAGACCCAGAGAGACTTGCCAAGCCAGGAATAAAACACTGGCTGCTTCTTCCTGGAGCTGCCCACTCCCTGGTGGCTGGTGCAGGACCCCATCCATACATAGGCTGAGCTACCATCTTCCCCAGACCGGATTGTCTAAAGGAAACCCTTTCAGGTGGTTACTATTTGCCTCAAATTATTAGTATAACTTTCCCCAGACCAGGCTTCCAAGAGATGAGGCCAAACACTGACATGATTTATAACTTCACACAAACTTCCTGCATTGCTTCATAGGAAGGAGCAGGCACTTCAGACATAAATGATTAATCCATTAAATTAAAAACACCCTTGACCTCTCAACAGTTCATACAAACAGTGATTCATTCCCTAAAACATGATAATCTCCCAAATCTGTTTATTACTTTTGTGACTGTACCTCTTACTTAAGGACATATTTATGCTGCCTTTCACTTTGGGAATGATCGATGTTGCCCAAAGAAAATGGCCCTTTGTGTTATGTATTCAAATGTTTTCACTTGAAGGTTTTGCAAATTCAAAAGGAAATGAATGTGTTTACCCATGACATCTTAATTTCAAATGATTTTTAGGGTACAGATTAATGCAGAAGGAAGAGGAAAATTGAGAGCCAGAGAAAACCAGTTGAGTCTTTGCTGTGTTGCTGGCAGAAAGCTATGACCCATCCCACC